TTATATTTTGTACTGGCAATGGAGGTCTAATGATGTAGATGCTTACCCCGAGCTCTCATTACTTTGATAGTGCATTGTCTTTGAGCTGTACGCCTCTGGTCTAGCACCAATTGAGACGAGGCTCAAAAGAAAGCCGTCTCTGGTGCGGACCAATCAGTTCCAAGGACAATGCATATATTATCAGTGTGTTTTTTGTTTGCATTTTGACCACAAGTATTGTGGTTAATGCTGACATGATTCCTTGTAAAAAAAGGTTTAAGTTTTGTTGCCAGAAAAAAGGGGAAAACCCCTATTATTATAGGGTGGAGTTATAGAAAGTAACAATGTTATCTAATTTAACAGGCTGAGCCTTACTAGAAGACATGAACGCAATAACCTCTGAAATATAAACCGAGTTGAACGACCTCAAATGATTGTATTTGATAGGATATTTCGTGTTAAGAACAGGCAATGAGAGTTCCAAATCAATTAAGATAGTCGTGTCGTCATGAACGCCTAACTGAAAGGGAGTAGATAATGACAAGTCACAAGTAATGAAAAAATCCAATGTGACGCCGAATGTGAGTCGGCACATTAGCATGCCGAGTGAGCCTAAAGCAATCAAAGCTAGGCCCAAAAAAAATTAACCCGTAAAAACAAAGTTTTTCACTCTAAATCCTTTATATGCGTGGCGGCTAGAGTCCTCTCGTCCTCTGGCTTGAGATGGCTGCCACCTATGGGTCAGATGATTGTCTGCCAGCATTAAGCAATTGGTAATTAAATATTTTAATTTTTTCCCTAAACAGTGTAAAATTTTGGAAAAAGATTTTCACGAAAATTAATTGTCACGCACAACGAGTCTGTGTGGAAAATGTCAGCTCGATTGGATCACGGCAAGTGGGTTAAAAAACGACCGAAAGATTTGCACGGTCGTAAGCAAGCAAGCAAGCACGCAAGCACGCAAGCACGCAAGCAAGCAAGCGAACTTAATATAAAGGATTTAACAATCCACTGAAAAGGAACAGTGATGCGAATCAACGTGGATATTAAAATCCCCGTAAAATTAAAATCCCGCTATATACGGAGGCAGAGAAATGACAAGAAAAATCTGACAACTCAGTAAAACTAAATTAAACATTACATGTTAGGGGGCAATTAGCAAGAACCAGAACTAGAGGCTGAGTGGATGACAACTTTAAAACAATGTATCGAAATTAATTAAATACCGGGACAGACAGAGGTTGAAATTCTATACCTGAACGTTGCACAACAGCGAACATCCCACCACCACCTGAAGCAAGCTGGGCAAAGTTTGGGCACATCTTTTATCTGTCTCTCTCTCTTCTGTGTTTGTTTTGCCTTTTATGGATAGAGTGTCGAGGTTACACGACCACGCAATGTAACGCACACATTATTAACATATGAGTTACGAGGAATCGTAATATGTGAAATAATCAGGGTGGTAAAACTTTATTTATGACCCAGGTGAAATAATAAAATAATAAAAATAAAAAATAAATTCTCACGACGTTTCGATTGCAACACAAGCAATCATCATCAGGTGTGAAAACCACAGCAAGAAAATTTGAAAAAAGTGGCGGTTTTTTTCTTCTTGGTTCTTTCGGTAAAGTCACGTAGAAGGGAAATAATAAAATAATAAACTTCAATGTGACTTTTTCGAAAGAACCAAGAAGATGAATCCCTGCAGTCACGAGAGCTTTAAATCGAAATTTGGCGTTTTTTTCTTAACGTCAGCACCACGGACAGCAACTGGCGGTTGGTCAGATGGAGGAGTCCATCTATGCTTGGAGCATAGTAGGACTCTCCATAGAGGAAAGCTTCAAATCTAGAAAGAATGGACTCGTCCGTCTCAACAACCACCAGTTGCTGTTCGTGGTGCTGACGTTAAGAAAAACCGCCACTTTTTTCAAAATTTCTTGCTGTGGTTTTTACACCTGCTGATGATTGCTTGTGTTGCAATCGAAACGTCGTGAGAATGTTATTGTTTTATTTATATTATTTTATTATTTCCCTTCGACGTGAGCCTACCGAAAGAACCAAGAATATGAATCCCTGCAGTCACGAAAGCTTGAAATCGAAATTCATGACCCAGGTGTTTTCAGAGGGGCATGCTTGGAATTACGCTGAGAAACGTGAACATAAAACGTGTAAAGATGCTACTGATTATACTTAACGTTAGAGCATCAAGTCAACCTACCTGGACTGAAAATCGAGACTTAATATACAATCAGAAATACGAAGTAGAAATAAGGTTGTAAAGAAAATCGTTCAGAACAATTAAAAAATAAAGCAAGTTAGATTTGTCGGACGTGTGATGAGAAACCAAGAAGCTGCCTATGTTGTGAATTTGTTTTTGACTGGGCTAATGATGCTTACAAGAAGCCGGGGAAGATATCGCATTAAGTTATATAAGCAAATTTTAACAACTGTATGCAGATGGTAGTCTCTAATGCAAAGTTCTTGAGTAGATAATAATGAATTCAAATGTATAATGCGCGCTCCATCCTCGGATCACAATGTGTAATGCAAGAAAGAAAAACAGAACCGGGGTGGGGGGGGGGGGGCAACCGACCAAACTAAAGAAGGAAGGCCACTTTAAAGAGATGGGTTTTCAAAGCAGAATGAAATACATCTACCTACTCTGACTGCCTGATTTCAAGTGGCAAGGCATTGCAGAGCGTGGGTGCCACGCCAACAAAAGCACGGTCACCAAAAGAGCACAACCTAGACCTGGGAGTGCTGAGCAGTTGGAGATCAGTAGATATTAAGGACCCTGATGGAATATATAAATGTATTAGTTACTGCAAGTAATGTGGGGTGAGCCCTTTAAAAGCCTTACAGGTTAATATCAGGGACACAGCGAAATGGAACGCCTTCACTGCCGACGTATTTGAGGACACAGGCACGAAAGAGAGAGAGAGACACAGAGGTAGGAGGTTGCCAGATTGTATTATTGTCTCCCGTTCCCTCGCCAGAGGAAATTTTCACTGTCGCAAAGTGTAATTGTTTTTTTTTCTTATTATTATAATGATAAAAAAACTCGAAAAAGGCAACCACACGTTTAAATATTATAATAAGTACAGGTTAAATAAAACGGTATTAAATTCATTACGGCCATGGTTAATAATTAATTAAAATAACATTTGATTAAAACTAAGAAAACTGTTGTTGCAATAGTCCACTGGTGGCTGACTGGCAATGCAGATGACCACTTGGGGCCAAATCGGTGTGAATGTGCTAATGTAATTTGTGATGAGCAGCGATCGACTTGAATTCGATTCCCAACCACTCCGAAAATCGGTGGGCAAAGTATTGGAATCGGTCCCGAGCATCTTTCGAGTGCGAACTCATGCGTGTGAACGTCAGCACGGGGAGAGATAAAGGCGGCTGGGCGTTATCATGGCCACACAATCCTCTCGTGCTCGGAGCTGCCCTCTTCAAGAGGCATTCACCAGCGGCGATTCTTCCATTGGTCAAAAGGCACAAGCAAGAAATGCGTGTCCTTGTATGTACGTATGTTGAACTTCTTTTGCACCGTACGTAGCCAACCGTGCTCATCGGAGGTGCGGGGGAAGGACAACAAACTAAACACAAAAATCACTTCTCAAGAATGTGTTTTCGATCCAGATTCAAAAGTGCATTGCTCCAGTGGCTTTCTAATATCAGACCAAAAAGCGTTCCAGACGGCCGCAGAAGCGCATCTGAAAGCGCGTGATGCGGTGACCGTCTTTGTTCGGAGAATATTTACATACTTTTATAGAATTTGCCAATGCACTGTTTGTTACACCGTGTCATGTGCCAATACGCCCAAATATAAAAGAGAATAGTATCATTTGCAGTGGTGCTAAATGAATGTCGTCTACAGCAATGGGCATGAACACACTCTAACTAACCAGTGGCCTTCACGTTGATAAAACGATGCCGACGGCAGGTGTCCAGAGCTGTGGTACAGAAATGCAGTTGTGTTTGTGTGTGTGTGCACGTGGGGCAACGTTAGTGAGTTGTCCATCGAATAATGCGAGATCTTTCACGTGACCGATGTCTCTGATTTGGTCGTGCAAGCTCTTAGGTTATTTCGGTAAAGTCACGTAGGTAAAAAGTAAAAGTAAAAAAATATAATAATAATAATAAAATAATAATAAATTAAAATAACTAAATTAAATCACGACGTTTCGGAAGCAACACAAGCCTCCGTCATCAGGTGTAACTGCTCCAGTAAAATTACTGTAGCGTGTGAAGAATTTTACTGGAGCAGTTACACCTGATGACAGAGGCTTGTGTTGCTTCCGAAACGTCGTAATTTAATTTAGTTATTTTCATTTATTATTATTTTATTATTATTTTTACCGACATGACTTTACCGAAAGAACATAAGAGTATGAATCCTTGCAGTCACGAAAGTTTCAAATCTAGAATTGGTCGTGCAAGGTAATATTTACCTTAGGAAAAGGCATTTGTTTCGTGGTGGGTTTTGCTACATTGGGATGTTGGCCCAATGCCATTTGAATGAGAGTTTGCCTTCGTGTGGGAGGAAAATTGGGCATCCTGAGCAACACCCACCGCGCATCGCGAGAGGATAGCCCTCGAACCACCACACAGACAGATGCAATAATAATGATTAGAATCAATTGCTGCACTGCCATCTTATGGAAAACCTCGCCGCTCCATCATAAGGGGTGTGCATTCAAGATTGGGGTGTGCCGCTGTGCACTGAACCACCGACACAGACAAGGTGTTACTGGACAAGGGTCGGACACAACTGTCCATTGAGTCGGCTGCACAGGCGCATCGCCGAACACGTGCTTGGTGTGCGGGCGCTTTTTCCTTCCCTGAATCGCTGGCGCATTTTCACGCGTTAATTGTATCCCCCCGCCCCCCGTCCCCCCCCCCCCCTGTGATTCGCTCCCTCCACGCACCCCCTCCACCCTGTCCCAGGCAGTCCATCTCTTTATAGCTGTCACTCACGCACGCACCGGAGCCACTTGTCGGCTCCGCGCGCTCGGCACGAGATATTCCGATGCGCTCTTTTTTTCTTCCTTCTTCGCAACTTGTCCGGCGGAGCGCCGCGTCGCCGCCTCGGCTCCCGCAGGGCTTCTCGGAACGCGCGCCGGCGCTCGTAGCGAGAAAATCCTCGCTTCATCTCAGCGCACAGGTGTCAGACAGGGGCTGCCGTGAACACAGAGAGAGAGGGTAGAGCGAAGAGGAGGGGAGAGGAAAGGAAGAGAGGTCTCGCTTTTGCGCGCTTTCGCGTGACGCACTCCCGTCCGCTCGTCTCTGCTCTCCGCTGCATCGATCAGTAGCGGTGGCGACTTGAGAGTGGGCGAGTCTCGATCTCTCGCACGTGTCCGTAGAGCAGCGGCGGCGGCAGCAACAGCTGCTGCTCAAAGGGCGACGCGACCGCGTGTTACCCACCGTGAGTGAGCAAGCAGCCCGCGAGCACACGCGTGAACACCGCTTGACCCCCCTCACAGCAAATCGGAGTAGATGCTTCATCATCCGGCGTGGAGAATTCTCCCTCGCGCTCTCCTCGAGAGAATGCGCTGAGCGCACGAGCGAAAATGCTTCTTTTTTTTAAGACCGGCGCGTGATTGCGGAGCGGGATTCATCGACGGTTGCGCGCAGATATAGGACGCACAGTGGCGTCGTTCATTCCCTGTCCCCTCTCCTCTTCGACCTCTTGCACTCCTCGCTGCTCTCTCTCTCTCTCATTTGCGTTCGTTCGCTGGAACGATGGAGAACGCGCGAGTAAATTTCACCAACTCAAGCGCGGACGGGTTTGGCAACGTCACTTGGTCGCTCGGGCCGGGGCATCACCACCACCAGGAGAAGCAGCAGGAAAGCGGCGACGAAGAAGGAATGGACCTGACCCAAATCATCGTGCCGGCGGTCTTCGGCGTCATCTTTCTGCTGGGCGTGCTGGGCAACACCCTAGTGCTGGTGGTGCTGCTGTGCCGCAAGTCGCGGCGGGTGCAGCGCAACACGACCAACACGTTCATCCTCAACCTGAGCGTGGCCGACCTCACCTTCCTGATGGTGTGCGTGCCCTTCCAGTCGACAATCTACGTCCTGCCCACGTGGGTGTTCGGCGCCTTCCTCTGCAAGGCCGTGCACTACTTCGTCACCGTGTTCATGCTCGTGAGCATCTTCACGCTGGCCGCGATGTCGGTAGAACGCTACATCGCCGTGGTCCACTCGCACCGCTCGCCCGTGCTGCGCACCACGCGGAACGCGCTCGCCGGCGTGGCCGTGATTTGGGCGCTGTCCGTGGTAGCCGCGATCCCCTGCGCCCAAAACCGGATGCTGGTTGACGGAGTGAACTACTCGCACCCGGGCCAGTTCTTCTGCTGGGAGGCGGAGGCATCCAAGAGGCGAGCCTACATCACGGCAATCTTCATCTTCGGCTACCTGCTGCCTCTGCTGCTCATCTCCTGCTGCTACGTCAGCGTGAGTTGCGCGCCCCGAAGTGGAGGAGTAGAGATACGCACATATATATATATATTTGCATAGCTTATATCGATGGAAGGAGAGAGTTTATTTTGTGAAGGAATGTTGTGGCGTCGATTGGTTGCTGGGTTCGTGTTCTTCGCGCTCTCTGCTAAGCCTAAGGAGGGGGGGGGGGGGGGGGTTGGGTTCGATCCCGGATGCAGCGCGATTATTTCAGCATAAAAAAACTTTAGAGTGAAAATTAAAGAACCTGTGGTGTTGTTCGCAAGAGTTGGTCATCGTGAAATGCTGCCATATACCAAAATCAAACAATCGAAGTACTGTCGGTCAATCGTACGTAACATCGCTTCAGTCACTCCTCGTTCAGTACCGTTTATATATGCATAGCGATTCTGCGGTTCGCAAGACACAATTATGCAAATTATGGACGTAATGCATTTCGTAGGCTGCATAGCAGCGGCGTGGCTATAAGAGATCGACTTTGGCAATCGGCTCCTGAACATATTGCCATACGCAAGAATCGAATAGCGGACATGAACCGAAATGCCGTAAAACCTCTCCGAGATTACCGCTTTATGCTATATCTGACATCACCACCCGCTGGTGTTTGTAAACCACCTTCGCGATGGATACAATAATTAATACATCACTCCCTATCTGAACAAAGGGGTGATAACGCGCTTCCTGTCAGCATTAGTAGGCTAAATGAACTTTCTGAAACACGCTGGGCTCACTCACAATGCACCCTTAAAACACACGCGCGCACGCACAAAGGTAAGGCTTAATTAGCAAAAGCGAAATGTTTTACGACTGACGTCTATGGATTTGTCGCCTTCCTTCTTGACATATTTTTTTTGTCTTAAATTGACCTTTCGTGTGGGCTTATGTTGAGCACTCCAACAGGAAAAACATGCGCTCCTTGACATTACAGGGAAGAAGAATCAAATTATCCGTCCAAACTACCCAACAAAGTGCTCACAAAAGCCTTGTGGGAGCGATTCCCGTCGATTGATTGCACGTGAAGTACATTAAGGTGGAGGCGTCTGCAGTCTTTAGTTTATTAAAGACCGTAATTGGATTAATTTGGAAGTACTTTCGTGTATACGGTGACTTTTAATTGCACTGCTGGGAAATAATCCACTGAGAGGGCCAATGATAGTTTAAATTTGGAGCATGGAAAAACACACACGAATGTAATTGCACCTTAACGCACGGGCACGTGTGTGTACACACCTACACACACGTGCCCGCAAGCGCGTGAAGATTTATGGATTTTTGTTTACGTCTTTGTTAAACACAGATGAGAAGCTCGTCGAGATTACGAGGCTCTTTACCGAGCGAAATGTTACGACAGAGAAGGGCAAGTGCCCGAATCGTCGCCTTTGATATTGTCTTCCTTTAGAGACAATGTTAGTGGCGGATGTGTTCAGTTTAATTTGTCATTCGTCCTTTATTAAGGTGACACCTGGAGAAAAAAATTGCATTTGCCGCCTACATCTTAATGTGCACATACGCAGCAGAGTGCCGACGTTGTCACATCTCGGAAGCTAAGCAGGCTTTCGTGGCTGGATAGTGCTCGTGACTTGGATGAGTGAACACCAGGCACAGGCTTATTGTCCATCCGCCTTGCGTGCATTCAAACCCATTGAACGGCATAGCGTGCTTTCATGCACCACCGGCGTGAAGTATGGTCAAGATCACGCCTCACGGCCTGCACAGGCGTGGGGATGTCCCTCGTCCAGCAGTGGATTGATACAAAAAATAATGACTGCACAGGTCCTACGTGCATGCTTATGTATACACGATTAGCCGGTGCGTTATATTAGAATCAGTGTCCATGTGAGCATTCCGCTTTGAATAACAACAAAGGAAAAGACTGCATTGCGAGAGGACTGCATTGGTCGCGATGCACAATCACGAATTAATGCATCTATATGAATACAAACTAACCGCATTCGTCATGAACACCAGTCTTTAAGCACAACCATCAACAACCGCTCCGCATTGACTCTGAGACAGTCTGCGTCATTGTCGCTATTGCTCGTGCCAAGACTCTGCATGACCAGAGCCATCTCCGAGGGGTTACGGCGAATCGGGGCGACTGCCCCGGGCCCCGCGCTTGGGGGGGGGGGGGACTGCGCTTCCATGTTACGGTGTCAGATGTAAGACTTTCGGTTTAGTTTGAAGGCATGGGGGTGGGGGGGGGGACAGAGTGTGAGTTTGCCTGGGCCCCGTACGCCTCTACTACGGAGGGCCTTGTGCACAAACACACCAGTGAATGGTTTACGAATTATCGACGACCGCATCCCTCACCATTATCCCCGCCGCAGGTGCTGACACACCTGCAGAGAAAGGTGCGCAACATATCCAAGAAGTCACAGCGCTCGAAGAAAAAGGTGACTTGTGCACGTGAAAACGGACTTTGCATTGACACGCGTGCGTGTGCTCAAAAGTTTGATGTGTAACGTGCACGCATTCAATGTAACCCCACCGGCCGAAATAAAACAAAACACGTTTTTGACAACTAATAATTCATCAACAAAGATGCCCCGTATAGCCTCTAACAGACCTTTTGGGGGCAAGTGCTGTTAGCGAGCACCTATGGAGGCACACGCGAGGGTGGGTGGCCAATACTACACCTGGCCACCTATGTCTCTCTATTGGTGATGTAATAGACACCGCAAGAGATACTCATTTGAGGCTTTCGACCGAGGGGAGGCAACAACAACCGCAATTCGCCACTAAGTGGTGGTGATGTCACCACGGTGCTTGTGCCAGGCTAGGTGCACTTTGAGGCCACGTGAAGTGTTGAAGTCTCGCTAGCAGACGGTCACAGGACAGACTCATGTGCCCTGGGCTGCCTGCCTGAGGTGACTGGCAGATGCACCACTTGTGCTCCCCACTCTGCCAACTTGCTGCATTTTATCCGCCCGGTGCTCTGCTCGTGAGTATTCGCTCCTCTGCCCTCCGCTGTTGTTGAAGGGAGAAGGCCTCCAACTGCCCACTAGAGTCGTTCACGAACCTGATAATCACCCCAGTGACCTGGCCTATTGATGGTATCATAGGTTAATAAAGCAGAGATGTAGGTCCTGTTGAAATTCTTTACACTTCTGCTGTATCAGAATATGGCGTCTGTGCAGGGCCGCCCCAGCCTGAAACTACATTGGGGCTCCACAAGCCTCTCCTCAGCGTGCCTGGAAAATCGATATTGGACAATCCTTGCAAGGGCCTTTACTGGCACACTGAAGAGGGAGATGCCCCGGTAGTTGTTACAATCCGTACGGTTCCCCTTCTTAAAGCGGGGGCCCACTAGGGCGTCTTTCTAACCACGCGGAACCCGTCCAGTGGTCCAGACTGTTGTGATTATGTCATATAGGGCAGTCTGCAGATAAACGCCATCCTCCCTCAGCAGTTTGCTTGGGAGATATCATCTCTGTCAAGTGATTTTCCTGGTCTCAGACTCTGGATCGCCCTTCGTACTTCCTCAACAGATGGCACCTCAACCAGCCACTCACAGTGGGTGGCTACTTCTTCCAATATTTGAGGCATAGCAGCCCCAGCAGGGTTATTCCCACCTTGCCCCATGATGTTATCGGAACTGAGGGGGTTCCCTTTCCCCAATACATCACAGAAATGCTCAGTTAACCTGCAAAGTTGTTCCTGTGGGTCGGAGATCTGGGAGGCACACAAAGTCTCACAATCATCATGTCAATTATTTACGAAGGAAAGTCTCACTGAGTTGGAGAGTCATACACTGGGATGTTTGCCCAACTCCATTGATGGGTATTTGCCTTTCACGTGGGAGGAAACTGGAATGTCTGGACCGCACATACAAGCGGGGTAACACTCTACACTGCTATCTCCTGGTCACCTGACAGTTCCATGCCTACGCCACCTGGCAAGTCCAGGTGGCTTCCCATACAAGTACTGATCAAGGCTCAATCTTCCTTATCTTTTGAGACCCTGAGAAAGCAGGAGATTTGGTCATATGGCTGCGTCTATTCGATTATATATTTATTCTGCATGCAGTTGTATGCTATTCGTGAGATCGGAGCTTAACGTCTGAGTAAAACATCATGACTGCCCTTGGAAAGACTAAACGTAATTGCAATTTCATTCTCATTTCTACGTGTTCTATGAAGAAAATGCATTCGTCACGCAGCCTCACATAGATCGACATGTTAAATTATTGGCTCTTAAGCAATTTATTGTAGGCAAATATTCTGACAATGCAAATCCAAGATGTATCTCTGCTCAAACGGAAGCTGGTGAATTGTCACTTAGACATCTCTGTGATGGGGAACAGAATGGGGAACAGAATCTCCACAGGGCAGGAGCTGATGATTTTTCCCACGTGTTGCTCATTCACTGACCATGGAGGGCTGATTGACTGTCAACCCTGACCAGGAGTTGAACTCACAATGGCAAGATTGGAAGCCCTGTGGCTGTTCTACTCGGCTCTATCTCGTCCTGAGATAAATACGTTCCAAACACTAATTGAAGTAATTGGCCAAACATTCCAATGCAAACAAGTCTTGCTACTCAATAAGGCCTTGCTGGTTTAATGAGGGGCATTCTTAATCTTTTTATGATTTAGTGTGTAACCGTAACTTTCCAAGCACCCTCATGCGGTGATATTACCACACTTCTTAAATTGACCTTTTCGCTACATTTAAATTGTGATCTCGGCTGCCTGCTATATCAAAGGTCCTACATCATCAACATTGGTTGGCATAAATAGTTAATGTAAACGTCAAGACATGAATGTCCTGCGGTGTGAAATCATTCTCAGTGATAGTGATGTTATCCCACATTCCCGTTCCTGCTACTGCTGCTGCTACTTCTGATGTTGCTGCTACGACTGCTTTGACCGTCGCTACTGCTGCCTCCGCTGCTTGTTCTCGCTACACAGACGGCGCAGACGGTGCTGGTGGTGGTGGCCGTCTTCTGCATATCGTGGCTGCCTCACCACGTCATTCACATGTGGGTCCTCTACGGCTCCTTCCCGCTGACCAGCGCCTCCTTCGCGTTCCGCATCGTGTCCCACTGCCTCTCGTACGGGAACTCCTGCGCCAATCCCATCATCTACGCCTTCCTCTCGGAGAACTTCCGCAAGGCCTACCGCCAGGTCTTCAGCTGCCAGCTGCCAGTGAGCTCCTCGCTAAAGGCCAAGAGCACACGGATCCGGCTCGAGAATTTCTCCTCCACGCACACGTGCACCACCAGCCCGTACTAGGGCACCACCGGCACCTATTCGGGCACCACCAGCACCTATTAGGGCACCACCAGCCCGTACTAGGGCACCACCGGCACCTATTCGGGCACCACCAGCACCTATTAGGGCACCACCAGCCCGTACTAGGGCACCACCGGCACCTATTCGGGCACCACCAGCCCGTACTAGGGCACCACCGGCACCTATTAGGGCACCATGCGTCCCATCACTGTTCTTTCACTAAGCAAGTAGCCAGAGTCGGCTCATGTAGTGCACGCGTGACATCCGCACATATACACGTGCACTCCCTTCACCTACAACTAGACCACATTGAATGGGAGAGTAATACACAGAATGAGCATTGAGATAATGTAAATATTCAGTTAATGTCGACATGAGCCGACTTTTACTGCCCCTGAGTCAATAACCTCACCTCTCTCTATATATATATATACACCCACACGTCACACACTCACTACCCGCAGTGGTGATGGTGGTTTGTTGGTGGAAATTCGAAGTTCATGTCCTCTGTATATATTTCTTAACGTGCTTATGAATACTGCAGAGTTCTTGTTGACATGTCAACACTTTCTCAACAGGGGTATAAAGTATGTATCTGTTTATGGATCGTTCATTTATATGTGTATTATGTCCCTTGATGAATTTTAAGTGAGCATAGGCGAAACGGTGTAGCCGCTATGAGGTACTCGTCTATGACATGATGACTGCAGTGGCTCTTAAACAGATTCACAAGCTGGGAGGCTTGTTTTACTTGTGTACAAAGACCCCACTTACACGGCAGCATTCCTCGCACAGCAGCATTACACTCCACAATATATGTGGGACAACTTTGTCTACATGAGCATGGGAATAGTGGGACAAGGGAGGCAGCTGCCAAACATCATCACCACCACCACGCTCCCAACCTTTTGTACGGAATGGCAAGTCATATGCTGTGCCCCCCACAATTAACAGCCTTGACGAGGCTACCCATAGCTATTTAACACGGACCCTCAATGGAACAGATTTTTGTGTGTTTAGTTTGTTGTCCTTCCCCTGCACCTCCGATTAGCACGATTGACTACGTACGGTGCGAAAGAAGTTCAACATACACACACGTACATAGCTGTCCCCAAGGGCACTCAGAATGGTCCCCACGTGCCCGTGTGTCTCCAGCCGTTCAAGACCGATGGAGTAAATCCGTCCCTTTTTCTTCCCAACAGCGAGGAGACAAATATGAGCGGCGACACTTTCGAACGCACGCAAGCGTGGCGAAGCGTGGAGAACACACATCGCAACACCCTCTCGATAAACTTGTCGCTGTTGACCCGTAGCCTGCGAAGCCACCGCACGTAGCGGCCGTCAGCACACCGGTGACACTTCGTCAGCGTCGTTTGGATAGTGGCCCCGGCCGCGCGTTATTGGAGGTGGCGTGCGATGGCTCCAGTTCAGGTGGGCATGGAAGCTCCACCGCAGGCTTTCCAGGCCGAGAGATGTGTGCAGCCATCCAAGTCCGGTGACAAGCCCAGCACCCACTGGTGCATGAGACATCACCTCTGCTTTAATATGACTCCACTTGATTAGTGGATCACTTGCTCATGTCACCTGTAATTACAGCACCCAAGGAGGAGCTCACTGGCTCACTGAACTGGAGCTATGGCACGCCGCTGGCTATCAATCAATCAAGTGAGACATGAGATGTATTTTGTAATCAAAACTGCAGAATTGTCAACGGACCGTGTGCGAGTCATTCGACCGCGCTTGCTGCTCATCAAAATCTATGGGCCAGATTCACATTTTGACTGATGAAATGTATGGCGGGACCCCGGGGTCCCGAATAAACGGAAGTCAAAATCGTAATTCATTCATCTATTTTTGGCGACTCCATCCCACCGCGCACATCAACGCCGCGACCCGCCTGGCGCGGATCATTCTGTGGTCATGTCATGTCCAAGCGCAGCGGCGAGGACGAATGCGCAGAAGAGCTGAACAAGAGAATGCACTCCATGCTCGGGTATGGGCAGGATCATGTCTTATCCAAGCTGCTCAAACTGCCTACACGACCTAGGTCCTTTATTTGTCATAACGGGACACATAATACAGTGAAACTGCTCTCTTATCTACATTATTATGTGACCTACCAATGTCTGCAGCCAGGATCAATCGATGACAAATCTATTACCTGCAGACATTTAGCAGATGAGATGCGTTGCACCGTTAGTTCCTCCTGTTTGATACTTCTCTTGTCCGTATGCATCTGTGCAGATAGGTTTTTTTTGCGGTTAAGCCATAGTCCCCACCTACCGCTTGTATGTTGATAAGAGCAGCGGCGACTCACTACTCTGTAGAGTAACATTGGTATAAACGCTTGTTACAATATGAACAGCGCATTGAAAACGCGTACTATTGTATGTACTGTTTACAAAGTGTGTTCACAAATCCACACTGAGAAACACCATGATTGACAGAGGGGTGTCAATAATTGTTTCGATAGTGTATTTAAATAGAAGTACTGCAGGTAAGTAGTTTTCAGTTTTAAAGGCATAGTTTAACAAGACAACACTTGCCACCATCATTCAAACCCATTGGTGAAAAAGAGCAAAGTTTTTGTTTACATTATAAAAACCGTACCAAAATCTGCTCTGACAGTAATGGAGCAAATCGCCCAGACGATGTGCTTGGCCGTTTTGTCAAGATGTGAATCTCGTCCCATAACGTATCAGACCGTCGGTGATTCTAGGACAAGTGTTTGCGTGCACGCAAAGATGACGATGAGGCTTGAGATATTGTAAGACGATGTCTTGAAAGGTGCTGGTTTGCACCCGGTAATTCACCACTGTGATTCGTATAAAATCACATGTTGTACATGAAAAACGTTCGAAGCTTCAAATACCGTGTTATATATTCTGTATTATGATCTGCTTCAAGCTTTGGAATGCTAACGCATAAGAAAAAAAAAACCAACATGTATTTGTCTTGTCCTGTTAACTGTGAGTATTATATAAACACAAGGTAGCCTACATGTTGTAGGCCATGTATTTTATATACTGTGTAGAATGTGTCAGATAATTGTAACTTGCCAACCTTGATGGTAAGAGATTGTACCATTGTCAGCTTAACATTTAAGTGGTCCTGCAAGTCTTGATGCTCATTGTGACTTACATAGTACAGTGCAACGTAGGGTCTGCATTTGTCAGTAAATGCTGTGCGCAGTGTTAGACGTATGAACATGTGTCACAAAGCAACATATCCAAAGGAAGACATTTAATAATGAGTGAGTGACCTTTACGAATTCTATTCTGTATATCGGTTAAAGGTGACATGTATTGATAATACAGTATTTATTCACAAATAGGAATGCATACGTACAGGGGGTAACAAACAAAAAATGCATTAAGTGTGTATGCAGGGTGAGGGTTAAATATCTGGGCATGTGCAAAACAATGGTACGCCTTTACCTTGGTACCACCTGCTACCGATAATGGCATTAGTACTGTTATCCTGAACATATTTAGTAGCTTAACAATATACGCTTTCTACGTCAAGCAAAATAGTCATTAAAATAATACACATTTTTGGAAACTTACACACAAATTCTATACATATCGTATGCTCCTACATAATTATATACAACATAATTTACAATTCCATATAAACGCAACCGCATCTCCAGAACTTACAGGAAAGACAAAGCGTAACATATAAAATAAAAATATGTACATGAACATGAAAACTTGAACAAGGGCTGAGTTTCCTCAACTACACAGAGTTTAGATGGAAGAGAATTCCAGACTCAGCTGCCGAGAAGGAGCTACCTCGTAAAAGCGCACGTTGCAAAATAACCAACTATTAAGCTGCTAAAGTGTATACTCGGGAAAAGAGTACTAATGTCCCAATTTCAGAAGTGGCAATGGCAGATGAAGAACACCAATTTACGGGATTGTCCTAAACTACTGGCTTAGACGTTTGACCTAATTGAATGGGCCATTAGTCTTGTGCCTTGTTATGGTTAATCGGCCAGAGTAGTAAGGCCACTGTGCATCCCACCAGTTATTGTATATACAGAAGTTCACACTGCGCCTGTCTACACGAAACAGTATTGTGTTTATGTGTTACGTTCTCGGGATACATTAGTGATTCGTGGTATATTAAGGTTCTGTAAACAGTCCATTAAGAAATAAAATTGATGTCAAAACGACAACGTAATTGACCATCTGAATGATGAAATTGTAGTTGTTGCTCTGCATCTACATCGGCCGTTCCAAAGAAGAATCGGAATTAATATTACAATTCGAAGCGCCAAAGGGACACGTGTTGTATCGTGGCACCTGGGCTGTTGTCGATAAGTGTTGCATTTTGTACAATGTTTTTCCCAGCGAACAGGGCCTCGGATAGAACAAACTTAACTACTGATGAGACCCAGAAGGTCGAAATCATTCCTGAGTTTGCTTGCTTAAACAAATGTGGAGATATGCTATGTAAGTATAAATGAGTATTTAACTATTGCTTTCAATCAAGGGGTCGGTTTGATGCTTTGGCACAAGCACTGATTCACGTCGCTGATTGGAACACATTGAAGTTAACTGCTCAAGACGCATTTCGCTTAATCTCATCGCCTGGAGCTTTACAATCCATCGTGCACATCGCCAGAGAAATTATAATGTCTTTATTATAATTATAGCTTCAGACAAATTGCATAATTGTCCTTAGTAGATGTGATTATATTCAGTGCATGTACTAAGCATGCATGGTAGAGCTAAGGAATATGCAATCTACAACTTATCCTCTAACACGCGCACGGAAAAAGCTAATCTCTATTGGCATTTCATAAACAAGTTGTTCATGAACTCGATAAAAAAAAACATTTCTACAAGTACTCAATGATTAAAAAAAACTTCGTGTCAATTTAAGACCGTTCAACTAGAACCATTCTTGAAATTACACTTTTTTGTATCCCCATGGTGTATATACCACAATCTTTATCTATTATTCACTCAAGCTCTCTCTGGCTTTTATATCTGCTATGATAAAGGGCCATTGCCAGAAACGTTGCCAACAATGTTTTTTTTTTATTTAGGGTAGTAGGTATTGAGGATCATATTGAGTTCATGCATGATAAGAGTCCTAAGTACAATCGGGGAATCGTTCACAAGTTGTTTCTTTTGGGTTAAGATTGTAGGGTCGGAATGTAAATCGTTTTACGATAACCCTCCACCACCACAGTCAATAAAATCAAGCCGTCACGTGGGCAAAGAAGCCAATCGATTTGGCCTATCAGCAAAACCAAATGTAATTTTTTTATTCAATAAATTTTCATATTATTTTGCTCATAACCCAAATCAAGTGTGGCATAATTTGCCCATTACATGACAACTTTTATTTTTTATCCGGCTCCGTTGGGTGGTGGAGGGCTTCAATTAAACATCGACATTGTACACTGCACGATGACCTAACCCCCCCCCCCCCCCCAATTTTTTTACTGATTTACTAATGGTGTGAGTAACGGGGGGGGGGGGGGCTGCTTCCACGCATCAGCGGAGTGACTTTGTCTGCCATGGGCCCTGGCGCAGAGGGAATTGAAAGCCACCCACCACCCCTCAAAGTGTCCTCTCCTCCTCTGTGGTCTCGTGCCCTCTGGGTCCTTCCTCGGTGCACGTGGCACTGACACGCAGGCGCACAAGCAACATTTGGGCCACCTAGTGGCCTGTAAAGTATTCTTAGTTTTTTTCGGTAAAGTCACGTAGGTAAAACATCAAAATTAATGAAAATAAAATGAAACAAAATTTTATTTTATTTTCAAAATAAAATAAAGAATAAAACAAAATTTTATTTAATTTTTATTAATTTTGATGTTTTACCTACGTGACTTTACCGAAAAAACCTAAGAATATGAATCCTTGCAGTCACGAAAGCATCAAATCTAGAATTATGGCCTGTAAAGGTTTAGCCTCGTTGAAAGTTGTTCTACTTTGAGAGAAGAGTTAAGGCAATTCATCCCCATGTGTGGCGAACGTGTATATTACTCATCTAAACACATTAACAAACTACATTTAAAATTGTGTAATATGAATCGACACTTAAAATACAATTTACGTTCTACAATTGAAGTTACAACATGACATCCATTTTGATGACGATGCGTACAAATACATTCGTAAAATAATTAAATTTGCTTTTTAAATGATTTACGATGTTTAGTATTAACCACAACTATACACTTGCCCGTTTTCATTTACGACGGTAACGATCGCACCAACACGAAAACCAAGTCATTATGATTTCGTCGGACAATTATCACAGAATTAACCTGATTTCTCATTCATACACCGCATGTTACATATTACAATTTAGCAACTAACAGAACGGAGTACTTTCACTGTGAACATGACATCACAACACCGTTTCCGCATTGTTCATTTGGGGGTGGGTGGCCAACACCACTCCCGGCCGCCTTTGTCTCCCCTGGTGGCGATTTTTTTAAGCACCGCACCAGGTACTAATTTGAGGCTGAGTCGACCTAGGGGAGACCCAGGACCGACTCAGATAATCGTCGAACTCGGGCTGCCGGGTTCGGAGCGCAGCGTGGCGCTCACCACTACCCCACCGCTCCCCATCACCACCACGCACTCCGCAATTGAAACCCAAGAAACCGCGACGCCCACAGAAACCTGAGAAACAGAAACCCGCGCGTTGCCATGGAGCTCCCCCGCCCTCCCCGCGGTCACCGCGTCGCGAACCAATCAGAACGCTCGTTGCTCGCGCGCGCGCCCGGGCGCTCCCCGACCAATGGGAGGTGGCGTTGTTGGTTGTTCGACTACGGAAAGTGAGAAGCGCGTGACACGTGGTGGCGGTGTTGGTGGTGTTTGTGTTGGTGGTGGTGGCAGCATTCTGACGCTGCTGCTGCTGCTGGTGCTGCTGCTGTTGAGTTGCCGGTACCACGAGTGAGTTTCAGAGTTTCTCTCCCTCCCCCCTCCATCGCCTCGAACACAGGGGGTCGGCAACCACAATAATAATAAGAAGAGGCATTTTTATTCCTTCGAATCGTCACTATTTCAAGAGCCTCAGTGCAGCTGCGTGGTGAATACGAGACGGTGGTGGTCCTCTTGATTAAATAACGACGTCGCGAAGCGGCAGTTCTTTAGAGTCACCGAATGCGGCTCCGAAGCCGCAGGTTGCCCGACCCCCCCTGGCCGAACGTATCCGCCGCGTGTTTGAAGGCGTCCTTCTTACCTCGCCATACACACCGTCATCGCGAAAGCACGCTTTTGGTGTCTCGTGCTTTTTGAATGTAACGAGCGCGGTGCAAAGCAACGTCTAGTTAACGCCGCACTGGCCGAGCTGTATTTGCCCACGTATTTGGTGTTGACATTATTACTTCAAAGTATGTTCTTGCCCCCAATCGGAGCACCTGTAGTTACCCCGTTTGTGATACGGGCATCAGACAACCGCTCTTCAATCTTGTTTAATTAGCTCACGGCTTGTGATGGAGCATGTCATTAGCGCACTCCGTGGACGTCACTCTTGGCATAGATGCGGACATCACAAGAACGTTCTGATACGGCGCCTGTCCGCTTAGAGATGCAACAGCGGATATTCGTACGTAGGAGAGCTGTTGAGTTGTGTGTTCATCGTCCTCAGTCGGTCATGATCCGTCTACTGCTGGATGAAGGTCTCGCCACGTTGTCGTCGCCACTCGCGTTGGGGTTTTCTTTAATGCGGACGTCTTAAAGCGCTCGCCCGTGTTTACTAGCGCACGGTCATGTGCGTTCCGCGTTATTCAAGGGGGTTCTCAAGCTGATTTGCTTCGTGGCTCACCGCTGTACGTCATGTCGAGTTTCTAAATGTCTTCGGATGAGATGTAAATTCGTTCGTTACACGCTGAACGGACCCGATAGCTAAAGGAGTCACACGTGGCTGAAAGCTTTAAATGGAATGGCATCTCTGCTCCAGATATGACACGAGAACACACGCGCGCAAGATAAGTTAATGTGATATGCGTGATATTTCTTGGCGGTATCAAAGTATAAGAAAAGGTGTTACCCTTTCTGGCAATTAAACAGGTGTTAAGATGTTCGGACACCAAACAGAAACCTTTTGCGAGGAATCAAGTCTGCATTAACCACGCGTGCTTGTGGTAAACATATATTAAAAAAAAACATGCTCTGGTAATATACATAATATGCACAAAGGATAAAACCTATTCTTATAATGTGATATGTGTTTATCGCAAGCTATGTTTCAGACGCCAACAGCAATTGTATTTGTTCTGTTAGACGTGGTTATGCAACGTCCATCAACGCACCCACTCGTGTGTCCTGGAAGAACTTGGAAACAAAAGTGTATTGTCTGGAAACTGGGGGTATTGCTGAGAGGAGGTTGATTTGGTGAATGGAGTAAATTATACAGGGTGCTTAGAATTAGTTTTTGTATTGATATGGGACTAACGTTTTTAATGGTAAAATAACGGATAAAACACTGTAACATGATAATAAATGTATGTAAATAGTTTCAGAAAGTCAGTTTCCACTTGTTCCCCATCATTGTCAACACATACTTGGAATCTTCTCCAGGTGGTGTCCAAAGCCCGGCGGCATATTTCTTGTGGCATTGTTGCAAATTCTTAGAAGTGTTAACATTTTTTAGAAGCACCCTGTATTACCTCCATATGTGGGGATGATTTGCTGCAATACTTTAAGAGCAGCGACATTTTTCAGTAAGCCTCCACACGTGTTGAAGTTGGTTAATTTAATTCTAGATTTGAAGTTTTCGTGACTGCAAGGATCCATACTCTTTGGTTCTTTCGGTAAAGTCACGTCGGTAACTTTACCGTAATTCTGTTTTTTTGCTGTGGTTGTCTCACCTGATGACGGAAGCTTGTGTTGCCTCCGAAACGTCGTGGTTTTTTTTTATTTAGTCTTGTATAAAAGCCATTTATAGTGCAATGTTTATTTGCTAAATACCTGGTATACATATTTAATATAAAATATTGTACTTTTTGAATATGGACTTCCCACTGTACAGACAGCCATTCCGTCAGATGTCAATATTGTTATGTTAATTATGTAACAGAAAAATGTCGCATTCAGTGTTGTTGTTCATATGTTTTTACGGTGCTGTGTCGAGGTGGCCAGGTCGCTCGGAGGTCAGAGTGCTGCGTTGTCCCTGTTGATATCCTGGGTTTCAATATGGGCATCCTTTTGTTATGAATGTCTTTCTGTATGTTGAACTTCTTTTGCACGGCATGTAGCCAGCCGATGATTTAAAAGCCCGTAGCTCCAGTGGCTTCCTAATATCAGACGGCTGCAGAAGCACATTTTAAAGTTTTTTAATTGTCATAAGTTGATGGTCTCAGCCCAGTTAGTAATTGCTGCACAACTTACAACCATCACCATCACATAAACTTAAAAACATTCTGGCACGTCGAGATGTGATGCATGGTGGGCGCAATTGTGAATCGATGATGATTAAATAACTGCGTTGTTTGTGTCATTTCTGCCTTCGCAGCAAACTGCGGAGGGGGAGGATGGCTGTGGCGGTCGAGGCTTTGCGGCTGAATTTTGCCGGCCGCTTGCTGTTGGCGCCCATGGTGCGGAATCGGAACGTTGCCCACGCGCCTGCTCGCCCTCGATTATGGAGCCGACATTGTCTACTGCGAGGTCGTCGTTCCGCGCGAGCTTCTCGGAATTTGCGGTGCCGTAGCTCTGGGAGTTTAAATTCACTCCCCACTTTGTTACCATGTAGGGCGAGCCGTGGTTCGCCAGAGGGTGCCCTGATTCATCACCTGCCCTGGCGAAGTTTGTCGTCAGGAGTTTCTCAGGGTGACATGGTCGATATATCCAAATGGAACAGAAAAAACCTTTGCTGCCTTTTTGACGATTTAAATATTACATTACTGTGCTGATTAAGTTAAGATGCTCAGCTGGCTGGTTGTGGTAAGATTTTAGCTTTGCAATGAAAGTGAATAATTCTTAAAAAAAAAATCTCCGGAGTTATTTTGCAATTTTCCAATGATTTCTTTGAAAGTCATTTGTGATCCGGTGGAACATTTTGGTTCATTTATATTGGCGGACATTATGTTCAGTTATTCCTACATTGCAGTATGTGATGCGTAGAGCAGCATTTGGCCCCGCTGTGCTTTGGAGGGCATGTGTCATGTGTTCCAATTCACTGTCAAATTGTTTTATTTTACTTTCACCAGTGAGGCAGTGGAAAGTCAGGCTGGTAGAGAAATGGGTAATGCACGTAATGATTGTAAAATTGCACTGTTATCTTGAGAACAAGACCTTGATGCCCTCTTCCAACCAAACCTCTCCTATTTTTTTTAAATTGGGAAAATATCGTTGTGGAGTGGTTCTACTTTGTGCCACCCTCCGCAAACTACCTTCTGCCCTGTGGTGTTTTGGAGACCAAACATCGACATTCTTGAGTTGCATAACATGTTGTGCAGACTAATCATTGCTTATACCAGACCGTGAAAGCTATGGGGCGTCTAGGATGCTCCACATTGTGTGAATATAGTCCCGTTGCACTTAAACCCATAACACATTACTACAATTTTATTATATTAAACTGGTTCAAGGTTTTTATAATGAAATATTTTTATTTTCACTCTGCTCAGGCAAGGATTTGTCCATGTAAAAAAAAAATCACTTATTTTAAAGTCAAATTTACAAACAAAGTTTCTCTGCAAATCTTAAAAAAAAATGTGTAAATGATAAATAACACTGTTTCTGAGTGTCGACACCGGATTGTTTAGCTGAGCGGTTTGGGAATTCTGGGTATACGCATGGATTGATACAGTACGCCCCCCCCCCCCCCCCATGTACCCTCATCTCAGTTCTCTGTCCCGTTGTGGGGTGATTGCAGGCTGATTGTGTACGGTAATTCCACGCTTAATGCGTTTTTGCTTGACGGGGCACTTTTCAGGAACGCATCTACCATGTTAAACGAGGAATTGGTGTATCAAAAAAGGCTTTAAGACGTGATTTCAAAATGTCCACAGGCTTTTTTCAATCCACTGCTGGTCAATGATATCCCCACGCCACGTCACTCGTAGAGATCGATTGACCATGCCTCACCACGATGGTCAGTGTGGATTGGTGAAGGAGGAGGCACCTCTAGTACTGGTTAAGTTATTATTTAGCGCTGATGTTAACCGTGCCAGGAGATCGAATAAGGGTCATTGTGCAGTGCGCTAAGCACTGTGCAACCACTCCACTCAAATTATAAACATATCTTCATAACCAGGTGAAAACTCATTTAGATTTAAACTACATTCTTCAAAGATGACCGAGTCAACCATACAAACGTAATAGTTAGACGTTTGAGTAATTATCACCAGTATACTGTTTGCGTTATTACATAACATTCAGATTTTCTTTACACTAATTTTGGCATTCCACAGTGCATACTATTTGTATTGGACAAAGCGTTTGCTTTGTAATAATTACTTTGAAAGCAGCCAAAAGTCTCTTTGAACAGATGAATATCCATGCTCCTCGTTGATATCTTCCGTAAACGAAACCGTTCACCGAACCTCAATTCTTTCCTTGTGCGTTTACTAAAGTTTTAACTTTTCTCGAGCCTTTGTGACATTATTAGACTTGCATTATTGAAATTTAATTTAAAATGTATATTAATTTAATTGAGTTGTAACAAAATGCCATGTCAGTGTTTGAAATTAACATGCCCTTTATTAATAAGATGCAGTGGTGTAATGTCCTGTTTAAACAGCTAATGTTGGGGGGAATAATTAAATATGTTTAATGTTTCCAATTGGTTTGGACGTTTTGTGCTTTGGCCATAATGAGAAGGATGGTGTGTGTGGCATTGGTGCAGGACATTAATTTTCTTTCATCACACTGAATGTCTTTCTAATGTGCCGAGTGATATTTTATTGCATTTTGTCATAATTTCTCATGCTTTGACACAATTAACTTATGGAAATACGCAACTTTAGCAACGTATATCACGACCCCTCGTTGACATAATTTTTCATTGCTCAAATTAAAATGTTGAAACCGCATCTTAAACAACCCCCCCTCCCGCCCCCCACACAAATGACATACTTTATCACTTTAGATTAATATGATTCGTTGTAATTACATTGTGTTTTCGAGCCTGTCGAGTACAATTATGTGATATTTACGACAATTTAAATGAGCGGATATATGGATTTTTTGATCACCGGTGAGTAATGTCGTCATTCCCGGCTGGAATTAACGTAACGCTGCTTAGCCACCGAGTAGCTTCCCCGTCCCCGTGCCCTGTGGTGCTAATTTTTTGTTTCTTTTTGAAACCCTTGCGTTCTGCCCATAGGAGCTCATTGATCTGAAAATGCTGCAGTGCACGAGGACCGAAAACGGTTAGTTAACTCTCGAACGTCGGTTCACGGACGTTGCTCGGCTGGGCTGAAGGCTAAGAAACGTGGGTGGTGGTGGTGTTGTTCCGCACTCGTAAGCACGTTATAGGAAAACTCTCCTTGTCCAATTTGCTGTGGGGTGTGCTGGGAGTGGATCCTGATGTTCGTGTTTCGCGTGCATTTTTAAAATTTTTATCGGAGTGGTAAACCAGGGATACGTTTGCATCACTCCTCTTATCCACACACGGATGCATGATTCAGAATGTAATGCCTCCCAGAGACTACTTCTGACTTGAATTGTCCACATAAATGGCTCTGATAAAGGGCCATCGCATTAATGCTCAACAATTATAGGAAGGTGTGTGGATCGCCTGGGTTTCACGGATTATTGGAAGCACTCTTAATAGGGACTTGGATAAGAGGAGACGTGTACTGTATCACCAAGTTATTTGTTTTGGGATTTTACAATCGGGGCCAACTCGCAGATGTTTATGTGAAATAATGTTTGAAGTGTTAGCAGGAGGGATGTAAGAGCAGCTTTTCACAGGAGTTTACACATTTACAACGTCTACAAAGCACATCTCAAACACTTCATCACATAGTTAGCTCTTGGAAGTTGTTCTAATTTTAAAATAGATGCAGTATTGCATTGTTTATTGTTAATGTATTAAATGCTATATTGTTTGGTGTTTGTATTGATCGCATTTTTTTGATGTTAGATGTCTTCAATATCTGTTTATATTTTTACTGTATCGCTTTGCGGCCCAGGTCTGTCCAAAAATGTGACCTTTCTGTCTAGTGGGATTCTCATTGGGTGAAATAAAGTATACGTGTATGAATATTATTATTGGTTCTGTGTAAGTTGGACAATAGAAATGACGTTGAAATATTTTTTTCATGTCTGTGAAGTGCATTCCCATTTCTCATTGTGACAAAGAACGCAATATTTTCATGCATTGTCTTTTTTTTTCATTTGTGTAAACCATTTGAAGTGGTTGCCAATTAAGAAGAGGGCGACGTTTAATTTCCTTAATCTTAAGACTGATCATGTTACGGGAACACGAGCAGAAGGAATGTTCTTTCTTGGCTACTGGAAGCTGTGTGCAGTGTCTTGATCTTTGAATCGTTATCACGCCTACATTAACTTAGCGTCCTTCTTTAAGAGTAAAGAGAGAAAAAAAAACGTCCATCTCACCAAACCTTTCTTTCGTGAAGGCAAGCACAAGCTACGTTTGTGCAGAAAGGTGTTAAAGTGTTGGTATCCCAAGGGTCAAATCGTAGTAAATATGTGCGCTGTAGATGACTATTTCTGTCTTTTATCATGAAAATAATCATATCAGACTGCTGCCCGTAATTGATTTTTCTCCCTGTGGGTATATAATGAGGAATTTCATCGACCGTACCTTGAAATATACACATTCGCAATTTCTGCCCCCTGAGTATGTGCAATGCAAATACATTTATTGGATACAGCTAAATAAATAATCTGGAAAACACAATTCATCATTCAACAGCTCGTAGCAAATATGAATATTTCCTCAGGGCCAAATTAATACAGGCCTGCGACTGCACTTTACAGATGCATCTTGTGTCTGAATGTGCGTAGTGCCACACAGGTGGTTTTGAAACGTTCCACGACATCTATCAAAACGTTGTATCCGTTGAGAGTTTATCCCCCGTTGCAAACTTTTAAAAGTGCCCGTGATGCGATAAAAACCACGTGAATTTGACAAATGAATTTGAATTGCTCATGAATTAAAGAAAACCCAACTGCCACTTATCAGAGTTACCTCGAAAAAAAATATTTTCATTCCAAAAGTCTCAGGAAATGGATGCATTGCTCAGCTGTCAATGCGGGTCCCTGGTTTTCAGTAAGACGTTTAATGTGAGGTATTAGCAGAACGCACTTGCACCACACATCTTGTGATTACACTTAAAAAAAAAAATCCATGCCCACCGTTATTTTTAGATTCAAATTTCTACCGAGGGTGAACAGCAGCGATGCGAGGTCTCGTTTGCAGTATGCCCGTGGCATAAAGTGGTGACATCTGTTTGGATTTTTCTCCAGAGGTGTGAACATATTGCCTTGTTCCCCCCCCCTCCCCACACTAGCTGCTTAGTCTTACAATGTGTATTAGATCGGTACTGCCGTTACATTATTGCAAGCCTATTTCACCCGTGATAATCAAGCTAAACCTTAAATAAATGCACACTTGTTTCTTTTAAACACATTTTTCATCAGTATAGGGTGCTGGATTACATGTTCAGTGTGTGCCACTGAGGATGTAAATAATGTATTCTCTTTTTCGATAACCATTTACGGGATGCATTATCAATTGCAAATGTCACGGAATTGATAGTATAATTGTATCCAGTAAAGTTTGGTAACGATCCTAACCGTTTGGCACGCACGGACCCTCAAACGGAACAGTACGTTCCTAGGTGATTGGTCACGTGACAACTTACTGGTGTGGCATGTGACTTAATGGACTTGTTTTTCTGTTGCAATATTGTTTTTTCTTGTTTGTGCCTTTTGTTTTCGTGCAATTTCTTAATTTCTCTATTCATTATTATTGTTATCTGAGGATTTTAATTTGCGTGGTAGTTGCTATGAATAGGATTTGGCTCGTATATAAATAATGTAGTCCTTAGTGGAATCTATTAGTATAAATTATGCTAGAAAAATGCAATTATTATGCATCTACTTATAAAAAATTATACATTGTCAGTTCACTGCTGGATGAAGCCCTCGCCATGAAGTCTTGATCATGGCACGTTTTTGATCATACATCACCATGCTGCTCAGTGTGGGGTTGGCGATGGTTGTTAAAACTGATAACAGATATTTTGTAATTCATTGTATTCACGTGATTATCTACAGTGCAAAGAAAAACTGAAGTTCAGTGCCACTCAAACAAAGCGGCTATAAATGCCTGGATACTTTTTTATCTCTTGACACTGATGGAAGATACCCTGTGAATCTTTGTAACTGTTCGGAAAATATGAGTTATTGGGTTCCTCTTAAAATGTCTTTTTGACGGCATACAGACTTTTCCCTGTCTCTGACATAAATAGGTGTTGTAGGCAGTGATGCCTTCAAATGATTTATCTGAGAGTTAATTCGTGGTGTGTGTGTGTGTTTGTTTTACTTGCAGAGGCGTTGGGCACTGTGGATTTTGTTACGTCCAATGGGAGGACCGTATTTAGGACGTGCAGCCAGGAGAAAGACAAAGTAGTATTTCAAATGGTAATGCAAACCGAGTGCGTGTGATTAAATCTGTCAGACCGTGTTTGCTTTTAAGAGTAATCTTCAAAAATATGTATTGGCAAAGGAAAAAAAAATGCATGTGCCCATTTGAAACAACATTTGTGGTCGAAATGTTGAGTGTTCTGTTTTGTCCATAATTATCCTGTCCTAAAAATACACGGTGTCCAGTGAGTTGTCGTCCCTTGTTAAACAATTATAATTCGACAGCCGTCTGTGCTCGGTTGATGGAGCTGTGCGCATACCCTCGGAAGTGTGAAGATTTTACCAAATGAGACTCGTCCCTTTATACACATCGAGAATCCCAGGTGTTCAGCGACATCTGACGCGGAAATATTTTGTATTTTTCTATTACGTGCTGTTGGAGAACCCTTGAGCTTTTTGATGTAACAGAAGATTAAACACCGATTATAGGTAGTACCGTGCCAACATTTCCACCAGACGCTTCAAACGGCTGTTTAATTATAATTATTTAATGGATGCACACATGATGATACCATTCGGGGCAGCCTGTGTATTGTTTGCTACTGCATGCCAGTATGCCACAGCGTGTCTAGACTCCTTGATGGATTTTGACCCCTTTGGAACAAGCAACGCCTCCTCTGAGGACATTAGGTGGTTTATCTTCTCTGTGTTTTCAAGGAACACGTACAAAACAAAATCAGAACTACATCCAAATACATATTTTGCACAATGGGCAGCTATCTTCGTGTGCACAACTTCACACCCCCTTTGTCAAACTGTTGCACCTTGCAAAAATAAATTGTCTTAGATAATTGCCGCGAACAGCGTGCACGGTAATACGTTTCGCCGTGAACATTTTGAAATTTGCCGTTTATGAGTCATAAATTGGATTTTTGTTGTGGGCGGCGCTCATTGTCTTGGCCGCTGAGCGCGCACGCTCGTGGGCACGAGGTACGGTCATCCACCCCCAAAGTGGCTCTATTTGTCATCATTAGATTTGTGGCGGGTTTGCCCGTAATGGTCATTGAGTGTTTGCCCCCCTTTGTTCAGAGGCAGGTTTGGTGATGCGATGACTTGTGCTCAGACAATTCGATAGTTATTTTTTTTTCCGGCAGCGGAACTTGTTGCACGATGCGGACAACAGGGGAATATAAAAGGCAGCGTTTACCTTCAGCGGGAACGAGGATCAGGGTTACAATCTGACCGTCTGCGCCGGACGGCGTTTTTGATGCCAGCTCGTAGCTTTTTTCTTTTCCCTTTACAAAAATATTTTGGTCATTCCCAAATTAATTAACGCAACTGGATGTCCTCCCCCCCCCCCCCCCCCGGCGACTGTGAAAAGTATGACAATGAAATGAAGTTAAATTCCGTGTATTTACAACTTGACATTGTTTTCCACAATTACCCTCCTATTGTGCTGCTGGCGCAGTGGCTTGAGACACTATTGCAGCTTGCAGTTTCATGGCGACGTCTAAGGAGGTCATTTCCGTAGACTTCTTTTTAACAACACCCTTTACGTGTCCTGTGGAGATTGTTGATTGCGTTTGTGATCAAATTTAAATTGTCCATTCTTAGAGCTACAACAACAAACCAGATTAAGTGAACACGTTTAGACGAACTTGTTTGAAATGCTCTCTGTCTCTCTCGTTGTCTGTCTTGTCCCTTTAGTCTCTCTCCCCTCTGTTACTTCTCACTACCTTCCGCCTCCATATGCATGGCGCTCTGCGATCCATTGGTGGACATCTGTGAAAACGAGCTTCATAGCTCATCAGATTCCTCCAGTCTAAATAAAGATTCTGATTCTGATAAATATTCTCATTCATTGCTGAAGAAGAAGGTGCCTTTTAAATCTAAATAATTCTTTATTGTAAAATAAACATGCATGTAATATCATGGTTTATTTGCATTATTTGGTGATTGGCTGAGATCAATTCGCTACACTTGAGGATCTGATTCAATCGGAGGCTGATACAACCTGTATTCAAGCCCAGGATCTCAGTGCTGCCAGCTCACTGCCTAACCCGTGAGTCCCACCCTGGCACCTCTAGCAAATGAGAAAGTGTGATGGTCGTTGTGCAAATACCGAGTTTTTAATGCTGCTGAGGTTGGTACATTCCCAATGTTTTTTTGTCAATGATTCTTACCAAAAACATCAATGTCCTTGTTTTTTTAGGGCACAGCGGATTCAGATCGGGCCCTCCAAGTGGCAAGGCTCGTGTAAGTGGGTACTTATGAAGAGTTGTGTTTGTGTATTAATTTGTTTTAACAAATACACGCCTGCTTGAATATGCATGTAAACAACCCCAATGGTACAGGGTGTTTCAAAAAGATGTAACCAATTTCAAAGCAGTATATTTCACGATGGCAACATGTTACAATTATACAAAAAGTTACAAATGGTTTAATGAGTTATCAAGTTTTACTAACCATGTTATACATCATCTGTGCCCTCCACCTGTTGTACGGACAACATCGAGACGATAGTTGAATTCGTCCCAAACGCCTCTCAAAGTGTCTTCTTCCACTGAAGTCACCGCTGCCGTCATTCTGTTTTTGAGGTCATCCAGATTAGTCGCTAATGGTGGCACAGAAACACGGTCTTTGACGTATCCCCACAAGAAAAAGTCGCAGGGTGTGATGTCTGGGGATCTTGGGGGCCAAGAGTGTAGCGCCAAGTCTTGGGGTCCCATGTGATCTATCCAACGTTGAGGCAGTGTGTCTTGTGAATAACCGAGGCTAGGGGCTGTTTGTGCATCTAGCTGTAATCATTTGAAACTCTATGCCCCGCCCTCTCTATGCCCCGCCCTCTCTATGCCCCGCCCTTTCAAGTGGTAAGAGTTTCATTCATGGGCGGTTCGTAGTTGTAGAGATTTCGCGATTTCAAATCGGGTCCATCTTTTTGAAACACCCTGTATTTGCCATTTTTTTTTTTTACATATACATGTATATATCGTATATATATCACCCAGAATGTGCTCAATCTCAGAAGCCAAGCTGAACCGGTGTTGAACCTGGGTAGCGCTTGGATGCTCGGCCACCGCACACAAAGCCATGTCATACGCTGCTGCTGGGCTACGACGTTAAGAGCAGCAGAAGGCAGTGCAGCAAAAGTTATTGTTGTAGTGTACCGCCACTATGCTCCACACATCAACGCTCCTCGCTTTCACCACCTAGTAGTGGCCAGCATGTTGAAGTATATTCAAATGATCTCCGCGAACCTGCCTGGTGTGGGGATCCCCTAGCCAGCAGTGGATTAATAAGATGTGGCTGACACGTACACATCTGCACACATCTGCACGTGCATTAGTTGTTGTCGTCGCCTCTGGGTGGTTGTTTGGAATGACCGCAATACAGTAACATGTACGTGCCTCCCTTAAATATAGGTTGCAGTTTTGTACTCGATGTGAAAAAAAATATTGGAGTAAATTTGAAACACTTCGGCTAGAGACGTTAAACACACACATCAATGCTCTGTAAGGTTTAAAATCATATAACAAGCAAAGCCAGATATATACTGCAGAGTCTAACATAGCGCTAACATCTGCTGTATTTTCAAACTTGCATAATTACGTAATGCTGTCATTTAAATTTGTACCGTCATTGGCACTGCACGCAATTATGATCACTTTGGTGTTAAAAGCTTTAAAAATACAACTTTTAGCCACTTATAGCAAACCAGTTGGAAATACCGAGAATTTGTTCTGCCATTAAAATACTCGGCTCTAGGAAAACGGTTGATTTGCCGGTTTTATACAAATGGAAAACTATACTGTCAGACGTGCACTTTTTTATGATATAGGAATGTACACATGAGAGCCAGCAATTACTACTATAATAAGCCAAGAATGTGTGTGTCCCGCGTGTGACGTCATTCCACATGAGGCCCACACCCCCGCGTGACGTCACTCCACATGAGCCCCCCCCCCCTATCATTAATATTCATGAGTGGGTGGATTTCTACACTAACGCAGAGGCCGGTCGAGCTGAATTAAATAATGTTGCAGTGACGTCACGCACATGTCTGTGTGACGTCACTGCAAAAGAGCCCCCCCCCCCCTTCATTAATATTCATGCGCGTGTGGAAATTGACACTGACGCACAAGAAGGTCACGCACTCCACATGCCACTCCTTCCCCTCAATAATAATCATGAGCGGGTGACGTCACTCCACATGCCGCACCCCTCCACAATAAGCACGAGCGGGTGACGTCACTCCACATGCCGCACCCCTCCACAATAACCACGAGCGGGTGACGTCACTCCACATGCCGCACCCCTATACAATAACCATTAACGGGTGACGTCACTCCACATGGGGCAAGCCATTAATAATCATGAGCTGAACCATTTTTCTATTGAATATTTCAGATTTACTGCAAAACACACCCGTCCTTGGGCAGGCAAAAAAGCTAGTTGACAATAAAGGTTTTGGTAAAATAGTTTTATTAAAGTATGCGCGAAATCATATTGGAGGGGGGTTAATTAAAAATGTATTTTATTATATTTGTATAATCGAGTGAACATCGGCGGTTAAATAGTCATCTGAATATTTACATAATGAAGGTAATTTCATGCCATGTTTAACTGGTTGTCAAGCCAGTCTGTGAAGGGAACCTTCACTTTGTTCGGAGATTCATAGGCCACGTAGGGACACTCTACATTTAGCAATATTGCGAGAGAATCCCAAGAAAACTATGACAGGTGGAGTTGACTGTACAAATAAATCTTCACACGCAACAAACATGAAAACACATGCGGACGCACGTTGTCAATCGGCTCTAGAGGATTATATTATCATTGCACGACGAAACTACACACGGTACGTCAAAGCCGTAATTGTAATGTATATTGGGGGGGGGGGGGGGGACATCCCCCCCCTCCCCTACAATATTCAAGTCCCCCCCAATATATTGCTATAAAAATATTTCAAAGAATGATAATTGCAATGCTATGTAAATATAAACAATTTGTTAAACCTTGGCCACAATATCTGGACTTGTCTTCATATAACAATGCATAGATTTTTGTTTAAACGATTGTGGTTATGGTTGTACTCTATGAATCCCTAATCTCTGCCATTACATACAATGAAACAAGAAAAGGTAAAAAAAAAAACAAAGCAATGTAATACAAAACACTCTTCGACATTATTGTAAAATATAAATAAAAGTCCTTACCGTGTGTTAGTGATTTTTTAAAATATTTTAGGCAGGAAATGAGTTTTAAAATTTAGATTTTTTTTTTTCTGGCGGGGACCTCCAGCAGACCCCCTGTAAGATTTGGTCCCCCCCAATGTAGACTCCGTGGCTACGGCCTTGCGCTACGTATACACAGTGCGTATGTATAGCCACCGTATCTTCTTCACCTGCCATGTGCTTTCCACTCCTGAAGGAAGGCCACCCCAAGCTGTCCTCCATCTCTCACGATAAACCACCGCGCTCCTGCGTACGGGCTGCTATTGATGCATCTCCGCAGTGGATGTCCTCTTAGCTGCCATCCACTGTTAGTCTTTGTTGGTCTTCATCCATCCTTGCAATATGTTCTACCCAAGCCCACTTATTTCCCTTTTTACAGCCCACAATGTCTGTAATTGGCATTTGTTCTCTGATCCGTATGGCTCTTCCTGGCCCCCATTCTCAACGTACGTCTATCAGCCCCTTTGTGTGCACTTTTCAGCTTTTTTGACGAGGAGAAAGGTTGAGTATTTGTCTGCTATAAATGTTTCCCACGCTGTTAAGCCACTTCGTTAAGCTATCATTTGTGGCCAGGTCGCTTCTGAAAAAGAGCTACATAGTCCAGTCGGTGGGCCTTATTTGGTAAAATAAAAAAAAATAGTTCAGTCCAGAGTTTTTTTTTCTACATTTTCTTGATCAATGTCCACATCTCTGATCCATGTGCCATATATAAGGTATTGTAAGCTGATTGGAAACTTGATTCTTTTGGCACATTGGTACATTGCTTTTTAATTATCAAAGTCAATTTTTCAAACGCACTCCAACTTCCCGTCGCTTACCTCTTAATTTCATGATTTTGACCCTGGCCCCGCATTTAGTAATTGCCATCGCTATGCACGCTCTTGTGTTTCCAGTTCTCCCCCAAGCAATTAGTTTCTTTGTTCAGGCAATTTTTTGTACATCACCTTTTGTATGTTACTTTAATAACATCATTTACTATTCATGACCGAAAGTGAGCAAGCCTTTGCGATGATGTGTTCAGTACCAGTGTGATTAGCACGTTGCGTGGATGTGCCTTTATTCATAATGTACGTTTTGAACTCGTAGCATATTCCTCCGCTCGCTAATCGGATCCACCATGACGTATAAAATAAAAATATCTTCCAGCGTCAACTTTAAGCAAAATCTACGCAGTTCATGGCGTTGCTGTGGTGGCTCAGAGGCCAGAGCGTTGAACTGGTATCGCTAAGATGCGGGGTTTGCATCCAGTCCAAGCCACCTGTGACTTCACCAGGTTCTCAAGTGGAGTGTGCTGGCAGTCTCTGCACGGTCACCAGAGGTCGCAAACGGGTTTTGATTCATTACCACCCGTACCCGGCCACACCAGGGTCGCAAACGGGTACCCGTACCCGGCCGGGTACGGGTAGGGTACAGGTACGAGTACCCGATTGCGACCTCTGGGATGAAGCCATGTTGCAGGCGCGGGTGGGTTGATTCTAGGAACTTGAATTGTGAGAAGAGACAAGACGTTGGGAAATGAGTGACAAACAGTTACTCAGCAGTGACTCACGGTTTACCCGTACCCGGCCGCACCAGGGTCGCAAACGGGTATGGGTAGCCGGTTGCGACCTCGGCCGGTCACTAATGACTGCACACACCAAAAATGAAAGCCATCACATAAACTTTGATTCTGCACTTAATTCAGCCGATATACGTAGCATGGGTTACACGGACGTACGAGTGATGCTTCGTGTCATGGCATACCTACCGATAGCATGAAATAAATGAAGACTACGAGAAATATTGGTAAACTCCATGGTGAGTTTCATAGCAGATGGGTTTTATTTATGGAAATGTGTGAAGTGTCTGGAGAACAGACGGATGGACTGACACAAAACGTCTCAGCCCTTCAAATTAAGTTTCTAAATGTCTGCATGAGAAAACTATCAGCTGTAATGTAAAGTGAACGAGTGATCAGAGATGGAACAAAATCTAAAAATATAAAAAATATATTGACTAGTCTTGTCCCCTAAATTTCCCAAA